GTCGGAGGGGCGGCAGTCTGAGGGGGCGGGGGAGGGATGGCTGGGAGGGCCGGACCTGGCGGCGGCCCGTAACACATTCCTTCACGTCTCGTCCTGTAGGCCCGCGGCCCCAAGAAGCATCTGAAGCGCGTGGCAGCACCCAAGCACTGGATGCTGGACAAGCTGACGGGCGTCTTCGTGAGTGCGGGCCTGGGTTTGGGGTTGAAGCTGGGGTCGAGCTTGGGTTTGGGGTTGAGGCCCGGGTCGGAGGTGGGGCGGGGGCCGGGCTGGTCGTGGCAGCAGCATCAGGGGAAATGTTCAGGTGCTGCGCGGGGGCGAGCGGTGAACAGGGGCAGTTGGACAGGGCAGGAGGTGTCTGTTTAACATTTAGGTCTATGTGAATAGTGCTCGTGTTCCCCCGTTTGCAGAGGACGTGATGGGCTGTTCCGTTTTAACCTGTCTATTGTTCTTTTCCACCTCTGGGTTGTGATGGATGGTTGTGCTCTGTTGGGGACAGTTTTATGAGTCTGGCAAGACATAGGGGGAACTGCTGTGAATACCAAGAACAGAGAGCTTCAGCTGGCCACTGCCTGCATGGCAGCTTCACTTTGTGGTGCTGCCCTTCCGAGCTCTTCTGGGAGCTGTTGGTACCATGGTTTTCTTCGCTGGGGTGGTTGATGCTGTTTGAGCCTCCAGCACAAAGCTTCTGTCCACAGGCACCCCGCCCATCAACAGGCCCCCACAAGCTGAGAGAGTGCCTTCCCCTCATCATCTTCCTGCGCAACCGGCTGAAGTACGCTCTGACAGGAGATGAGGTCAAGAAGATCTGCATGCAGAGGTTCATCAAAATAGATGGCAAAGTCCGTACTGACATCACCTACCCTGCGGGCTTCATGGGTGAGTAGGGTTGGGGCAATTCCTTAGGCAGCTCTGCTGCACTGGCTGGGGAGTGTTTTGTGGGGCTGGCATTATTTGAGGGGCAAGGTTTCTCTGCTGGAGTTGAAGAAAAGATATATATAAGCAGTTATTATTTAGTTTGGAGTTGTGCTCTACAGTGAATACCATAGTCAGAAACCTGTAGCCTGTAAGTTCCTACATGACCTGGGTAAGTTGCTGTTCAGATTCCAGCCTTCAGCATTTTTTGCTAATTTGCAGTCTATCACAGCAAAAGTTGTCTGTGGTCAAGGGTAGATCCCAGCCTCATCAGTCATACCCTAAATGTTGTTCAGCAGTCTCTGTTTCTTTTTAAACGTGAGTTTGGATAATGAGCTGATAACAGCTGCTGTTTTATTTCCCTGTCTGCAATCAGATGTCATCAGCATTGAGAAGACAGGTGAGCATTTCCGCCTGGTGTATGATACCAAGGGCCGGTTTGCTGTTCACCGCATCACACCTGAGGAGGCCAAGGTGAGGATCTTTGATGTGGTGTAAGCATGAGACCAGTTGAGTTTGGCTGGGGCAGTGCTTCCTCTTTGGCATCTCCTGAATGAGAGCTGATGTCTTTCTTCCCTGACAGTCGAGGCCATGCTGCACTTGGGATTGGGGTGCTCAGGGTTGTGGTGAAGCCTGTGTCGGGGCGGGGAGATCTCTTGGTTACATGAAAGTAGTTCACAGATGGGTGTAGGTGCATTGTCTGGTGCTGGAGATGATACTGTTGGCATAAGCTGGATCAGAGAGTTTTGGGGTGGAGAATGAGTCTTGGCTTTGCCAGCTAACAATAACCAGAAGCATGGAATTGCCTGTGGTGTAAAAGCCTTGAACTTCTTCCCAGGGCAACAAAACTGCCTACTCACCCTGGATGCTGTAGAGCAACTTCCTCATACGTTCCCTTAACCCAGGCATGGTGTTCCTGAGCTGGGATGGTGTTCTCTGCTTTGCATCTCCTTCCTTAAGGCAGGCTGTGCAGGCACACAACTGTGTGGATGGCAGAGCTGGCTGTGCTGGAGGAGCCAACTGTGGTGTATTTCTCCTTGTGATGTACTTCTCTGACTACTACTCCATGTTGATCTGTGAGGTCCAGAGAGGCTATGAGGGAGTTAGTGTGACAGGCAGGAAGGAAATCAGTGTCCTGGAGGGTGCAGAGATCTCTCTTCAGTCCTGGAGAAATGCAGCTTCCATTGTGTGTCCATGGGCTGTGGGGAAAAAGAAAGGAATTGCCCTGGTAAAGACTTGCCTGTGAAAGTGAGGCCAGTGTTTGTGGGGAGGCTGCAGCCAAGGTGGGCTGCTGCTCCCAACAGCAGAGGTGTTTTCTGGTGGGGCTGTAGCAGAGCTGCATGGCAGCTGTTCAAAAGTTGTTAGGCAGTGAGCTGGACAAGTCGCTGCATGGGCTCATGTGAGACCCGAGTGTCCAGGTGTTCTGCTGGCTGGTGGCTCTTTGGAGTACAAGAGTTCCCTAGTCCTTGGCATTACTGGCTGCCTCAGCTGAGAGGTGTTGGGTTTTGTTTGCAGTACAAGCTGTGCAAGGTGAGGAAGATCTTTGTGGGCACCAAAGGAATCCCTCACTTGGTCACTCATGATGCCCGCACTATCCGCTATCCAGACCCCCTCATCAAGGTGAATGATACGGTCCAGATTGACCTGGAGACAGGCAAGATCACAGACTTCATCAAGTTTGACACAGGTAGGTGTTGCATCCCATTAAAGCACCTCACCCTTCCCCTCTGTGGAGAGCAGTGCAGACGTTAAATGCTAAGCATATTTGCACTGAAATAGAGAGGCAGTGGTGTCAACCTTGGGGAGGGGTTTGTTTCCCAGGAGCATGTTCACCTGGAGTTGGAGCAGGGGATTCTTCCTGTGTCCTGGCAGTGGGAGGAATTTGGCAGGGACTTGGCAGTTCTGAGGCACCAAGTAGAAGCAGTGAGCTGGGGGGGGAGGTGCTTCAGCTTGTCTCTTAGTTTTGAGAGATGGTTTCAGTCACAGAGCTGTGAGCAGTTCTAGCATGGGTGGGATGGAAATGTTTGGTGTGGGCAGAGAGCCCAAGTGGAAGGACTTCACAGCACCTGGTGCCAGCTCTTATCATACCTGTATTCCCTTACTCAGGTAACCTGTGCATGGTGACCGGCGGTGCCAACTTGGGCCGTATTGGGGTGATCACCAACCGGGAGAGGCACCCCGGGTCATTTGATGTGGTTCATGTGAAGGATGCCAACGGCAACAGCTTTGCCACCAGGCTCTCCAACATCTTCGTTATTGGCAAAGTAAGGCCGTAGTGGCACCAGGTGGGGGATTCTCTCTTGTGAGGGCCTGCTGGCTGAGGCAAAGAGCCTTGGTGTTTCCTTCGACACCTGTCTTCCCACAAGGTGGACCTTCTGTGCTGGCCTCACTTCTGACTCAGCTCCCTGTATTTCTTCCTGCTCTGGGAAGGGGAAGAAGCATTTGCAACTTTAGGGATGTGGGTGTTTTCAAGAAGCAGCTCTGAATCCTGTGAACTGGGGCCTGAGCAGTACTCAGACCTTGGTGCTATCTGGGCAGCTGCTGTGACTCAGAGGGCCCCTCACAAAGCCTCTGCTGTTTTGACATCCCTGACAGGCTCTTTGTCCAGGCTGTAGAGGGGCGGTGTTTTGGTTTTGGCTGAAGCGTGTTCTTCATGGATGTAACTAAAAGGCAGCTGTGGACCTGTGCATCCTTGGCACCTTTCTTAGGGGCCTCTGCTGTGCCAGTGCCACCACTCTGTGTACCTGGCCCAGCATGAGCAGGGGTGGGCTTCTGCTGCTTTCCCCCTTAGAGGGCTGTGTTGCTGTCTGGGTTTCCTGATGTTGTTTCTTCTCCCTTGCTGCAGGGCAACAAGCTGTGGATCTCCTTGCCCCGTGGGAAGGGCATCCGCCTGACCATTGCTGAAGAGAGAGACAAGAGACTGGCGGCCAAGCAGAGCAGCGGATAAAGACCAGCTCAGCCTGGCTGTGGTGCTGTCAGTGTGTTAATTAAACCGTTTACTACATGGCTCTGGCTGGCTGGGGAGCATCCTGGGCCTAGTGGGGGGAGCCATGCTGCCAGTGCCAGGCCCTGCTCTTCAGAAGGTCCTGCTTCTCTGGGGAGACTCCCACCAATCTGAGCAGCTACCACAGCTATATTCCAGAAACGCAAGGAGGAAGGGTGGGAGAGCCTCTGTCCCTGGGAAGGTGTTGGTACAAATGCTTCTGGATGTGCAGGAGGAGCAGGGATCTGGGGAGAGTTAGCTGGGCTCTCGTGTAGCCAGTGGTGCCAGGTCAGCTTGAGGGATTGCCCGATCTGTTTTGGCTTCAAGGGGTTTGGTACTCAAGTGCCCAAGCCTGGCTGGTGGCCAGGCACTGGGGAGATCCCTCAGAGGCTTCTCTTCAGTGTCCTGTGGAAGTGGAAGGTGCAAGTGATCACACTGACAGCCTGGACTAAGCAAGAGGGGAATGGGCTACTGGGGACACTGAGCACCAGCCTGGCAGGGGGCTGGTGCCCTGCAGGAGCTAGGGAGCTGGGGACCAGTTGTGGCTTTGGCAATGGCCCTGGAGGACATTCTGCCTGAAATGGGCAGTGTGCCCGGTCAGCAACGGCAGTCGCACAATTGGGCTGTGCCAGCAAGGGCACAGGAGGCACTCTAGGGAAGGGGAGGCTGTGCCTGGGCATGGTGTGCAGGCTGGGGCCAGCAGGTCCAGGCAGGTGTGGGCACTGGAACAATGTGAGTGCAGGACCTGGAGTGATGGAGGTGTAGAAGAGGTGGTGAGGGCACAACCTCTGCTCTGTTCAGCCTGGGGAAGAGGAGCCCTGGGGGCTCTCACTCCGCCTGCCTGCATTGGCATTGTGAGGATCTGTCTTCCAAGATAGATGGGGCACAGATGTGCACAAGGAAAATTGGCATCTTTGGCTTCATCAGGTGTCCATAGTGAAAAGTAGTTGAGCCTCATGAAGTGTCTTCAGGCAGCTGTATTCTGACAGTGTTAGGGCTCTCAGGAAAGCTGAATGCCTGTGACACTGCCCATGGTCCCATCCCTCGAGTGTTGCTGTGCTGCTACGGGCTCAGAGCAGCAGCATCTCCAGGGACTTCCATGATGCTGGCGGTGGGCATTGGTGCTTGAGCTGTCCTGTGGTGCGCAGATGTGAGCAGCCCAAAAGCTAAAATCTTCATATTTTCATGCACAGAGACAGAAGCAAAATCCACTTAGTTTTTATGTTGTGAAAAAGCTCCAGAAAATTGCCAAATTGAATATTTGGGAAAGTAAAATCCAATTTTTTTACTAGCAAAAAAACCCCAAAATGGCAATGAAACCAACAATTGGGAAAATTTGGTGTGAAATATTTCCAGTTTGGGGGTGGGCATTGCAATGGATTATTCAGTGTGGGGCAGTTAGCCAGATTAGGTTGCTTCGTGTGGGTTATCGCAAATGAATTGTCTGCTGAGCATTATCGCGGGTGGATGTGTTGTACGCCATTTCCCCGTGTTTCCCGCGCGTCTCCCCGCCTCCGTCCGTCCTTTCCCCGTCCTGGGCTGTGACCTCCCGCCCGGCCCCGCCCAGCCGCGCTCACGGGCGCCACCGTCCGGCCAGTAGCTGCTCCTGCAGCCAAGAAAGCCGCGAGCGCGCGTTGGCCGAGGAAGCGGGGAGTGG